GTCGATTGTTTCCGTCGATCAGTCGCTGCATCTAAGTAGACCTAATCATAAGGGTTGCCCCAGTAGTTTGTGAACACAATCTGGTTCTTATATTCACGTACATTAAGTTCCTTGGAAGTATATGGTGAGCTGCCTACAAACCACCCGACAAGCAGTGGTGTCGGGCAAGGAAGTTCAGTCTCTCCAATCTTTTTCTAGTTCATCATTAATGAAATAAAGAGGGCCTTCAAAACCCTGGTATTCAAATCACTGCCGGTAAGGACCTTGTCAAAACGAAGTTCGACACCACCCTCGTCTTTGAAGACGAAAGCCAACAAAAGTGTTGTTCAACGATCTGACTGCCGTCGTACGGCAGGCGCCATCAAAGTGTTAGTTCATGATTCGGACATTGCGGTCTCGGATCACGGTCTTCGTAATTCAAGAAGCACAGCATGTCGCGGAGAATTCTACATACCTCGGTATATGTATTAGCTCTGATGGAAGCGTGTTTGATGAAAACAGCGTAGGAGTTTAAAAAACCTAAATCAAGCTTGCCAACTTGCGTCACTTGTGGTGTCAAAAAGAAATATCAGCGGGTCTCATGAGTCGTGTGCAAGCCTACGGTAGGATCTCGTTCGTAGCATGGTTAGGAGGCATTGAATCTGCAAACCGATGGTGTGAGGTTCTTGGTATCCCGGAGGTGTCGTTGATATCGGATGGTGCCAAGTAATTTGTGACGGTGTTCATCATCATCAAAGACAGCAACATCAGTGTTGGCACAGATGCTTCACTGTGACGATTATCAGAAAACGAATGTGGTTGCGCAATAGGTACTTCGGTAGCGGGCGTTGTTCTCCGTGCCTCCACAATGACGCAAACTGCGAGGCGGACAGCGTAGGGCTTGGTACAATGGAACAGGATTTGGAAAACCTTAGTTGTTGTTGGTGCGGTCCGGAATTCAGTGTTTGGCTGGAGACAGCACAAATGGTGACTGACCTATGTCAGGGTGTTCGTGCTGTCACTTTCTTTCCAAATTGTCTAATTAAGCGCTTGGAGGCTGCGATAGAGTGCTTGCGATAGACCAGCACCAGGTCCTCGCCCCATCAACTTTTTTCTTTACCTCAAAGTAGAGCGAAACCTGAAGCATCAATGTCAACGCTGATGATGAGTCTAACTTGTCTGAGCGACGGCAGCCCCTTGAAATGCTACGGTAACCACACAACTTGCTCAAGTTTTTGGGGCCTTAAAATTCGAAGAACTGGTGGCCCCCGACATGGATGGGTTAACTGCTGCAGAGCATATAGAGGACTTGAACGCGTATATGAACCAACGGTGAGGCCAAATAATCCGACCCCTACTTTCCCTCGCAGATAACCGGACAGGTTCAGCACACAAAACTCATTTATCAACATCCACGCATTCGCCGTCATGAAGGGACTGGAGCACACCACCACAACCCACTGAGCTATGCTGGGGAATGAACCAGGTTGGTCAATGGCTAGAGGGCCCACTAAGTTTCCTGGCCCTCCAGGTTGGGGACTGGACTGGCTCCCCAAAAATAAAGACCGCTCTTACAGTCTAATGCAAACCACCGCTCCTTGTGGTCGAAACAAAGGGCTGGGTTGAGGAAGTTAACCATCCCACTGTCCAGGTCTAGGTGCCTGACAGTATCTCAGCCTATGTACAAAAATGAACTGCACATTTACGAATAATCTCATGCCACATGGGCCGTCGAGCGGTGCCATCAATCGAGTAGGATAACACGCTGCATACATGGGGATGAGCAAGCGAAAAGAATATTCCTGAGTCTTCACTTCTTCCTCATCCACACTCTCGTCTACTCCTCCTTATCCCGTTGCCATCACCATCATCAGAGACAGTAATACCAGTGTTAACATTGATACTTCACAGGAGCATAACCACAAAGCTCATCTAATTATTTCGACAAATACTCATTTGCACGTCAATTTGGTTTTGAAGGGAGATTCACCTGGAACCCAGCTGAATCATGTTCCTAAGCAACCCAATATGCTGCAACAGTCCGCCTTATGTTTTAGTTGGCAAAATATTCTATACATTGCATTGACGTAATACACTACTCATAAAGCTGCTGGAAACTCTTCGATAGCCTACAGCCGGTTTCGCCATTCTTGAGGCTCGTCAAGTAAGTGCAGTCTCCCTATTTCCGTCAACTTCATGTCCTGCTTGAACACGCATTGGACAGATTTTGACAAATACACTCGTTTGCCTGTCAATTTGGCTTTGACGGGACTCACCAGATGGTTAAGAACATGATGGACGAGATATTCAGCTGGGATACAGGTGAGTCTCCCGTCAAAACCAGATTAATATGCAAATGAGGTATTTGTCGAAACCTGCCCAATTTGGGTTCAAGTAGAACATAAGGTTGACCGAAACTCGGGGACCGTACCTAACTGATGAGCCCCAAGAAGGGTTATGGGCTATCGAAGTGTGTTAAGTAACCTTACGAGTAGTGCGTTACGTCTCATTTAGCCCTGGAGTGAAAAGAAGAGAAAAGAGGGTGAGGAAGGGGACCTTTTGTTGGCCAATCGCAGCCTGAGGTGCCTACAACTCCAAGTACTCAATCAGGCAGCAAGGAAAGAGATTGACAGCTATCCGCCAGTGGGATGGCGCTACCGACCAGGTCTAAGCACTGGATCCCGAGCAAAACCAAAGTTGTTTGAAGCTGGAACACGTATTCCTCCTCGTCAGGAGTACAGTGCCAGTCAACGAACTGTCAGCCTTCAGGTGAAAAATGGCATCCCCATGGGTTGAAAAGTATGGTGGGTGCGGAAATTGGACGGAATGGAAAGAGCGAGAAACTTCTAGAATGTTCGTGTATTCGCCCAACTGAAACACCCAGCAGGCCAAAAAATTCATGCGGTGAACGGAACAATAAACGATAAAAATGTCTCACTTATCTCTAACAAAAAAACACCTGAATTGTCGAGTTGAACACTTCCAAGAGCGATTCAACTGAGCACTTACAGTTGCTCAGCCCGATTCCCGACTAGCAACGCAGCTCTGGACAGTGGAACTAGAACACCCGACGGACTCAGAAATATGCGAATACCTTCTGCTCCTCTAGCGTCATGGGAACTGCTGGTCCTAACGAACTCTCACCTGTACTGTCAGAAGATGGAGGTGAAATCCTCAGGTGGTGCTTATCCAACATATTTGCCTCTGAGCGAATAAACGGTCCCAACCAACTGAGGGAAGAATCGACAGTGATGTCCGTGTTTAAAAAGGGGAATCGCAGTGTGTAGCGATCAGATGGGTGGGTCTGACCGCCGTTGTAACTAGACTGTGTCAATTATTCTACTACGTCTTGCGAAAATGCAAGGAGACAGGACCAGAGAACAGCTAGAAGTATTCCAGTTGAGACTGTAATCTTAAAGCAACGGAATGCTTACAGGTACCCTACAGTCCTCGATTTCAGGAAGGCGCCCAATCCTCTTGACCGGTTTTTTTTTTCAAAACGCTTGTGTGAAGGGTATGCCCCAGTTCATATCATGCGTCGCTTGCATTCACGCACTTATGGGCGCTTGAGTGTGTGGGAGTTTTCCAAAAAAACTTTTCTGTGAACCTTGAAGGCCACTCCGTCATCTCTTCTGCCATTGAAGAAATATGGCGACTATTGGAAAGCCCCTGAAATCCTGCTGCTCAGATCTCACCAAGTGAGAACCTTGATTGGCTGGAACATGCCGACGATACTGTTCGCATTTTTTTAAAGGGCAATACGCGCAAACCTTAGTAGAAAAGCTGACCAAGGACATCCCATCCTTCGGAATGCATTTCGCGTTCACAAAATACAATCAAGCTGCAAGGAGTAGTCTTTTAAGACGCCTTTATTAATTAAACTGACGCTGGAAGTTGTGGAATACTGTATGTTTATCGGAATTTGAACTGGCTTGGAATGTAGTGACAGACGAAGTCAATGCATGGATCTCGAAGGCTAGAATAGCGCTTGTCAATTTGCACCACTTATAGCAGCAAAAAGGCATCCAACTGGGTCTCAGAGGACACGTGCATAAGACTACGGTAGACTGCATTGCTCTACGGCTGCGAGACTTGGCCACTTGGAACGGAGGATACTGGACATCATCAGGCCCCTAATCGCCGTCTGAGAAGTATTGCTAGAAATGGATAGAACTAATGAATTTGGGATGTGATCAGGAAACGGGTCTCTGGTCAAGTAGATGGACTTCAGTCAAAGTATCCAACACCGCAAGCTAAAGTGAATGGGTCAAGTTATGCTTGCTAAGTTACCACCAGCCAAGACGTTGATCTCCGTGTCTGAGTAGCCGAAACCTAGAAGTGAACTGAAGTCGATGACGGAATAATGACGCCCGGAAAAGTTTCGAAGCTGCCGGCCTTCCACTCACCTAGTTTTTCTGTCGATGATGATACCAGCCCTGGTTACTAAAGTGCCGCAGCTTACGACTTGTGTTTCGTGCATCCGAGAGGTGGAAGTCCTTTCCAGCATGGCTTTTCTTTCCGGTCGACCATGCTTCTAATGAGCTCAGGTTTCCTTGGCCAAACGTTTTCCATTACGTTTGCTTATTGCATTGATTGTTGAAGCCGGCTCCACCCGACACTATACAGTGTCCCGTGAAATGTTATGGGTTCCCACGTTTATTACTTATGAAACACTTATCGTCTATCAAACCTACGAAAGTAACGTCCATGTTATGGTGGAAAACTTGCGTTACTTAGCCAGTGCTAAAAAAATACAAAACGCGTGGGCCACCCAAAAGAATCGTTACAAAAGCACTAATAACTGAAAAACGAGTGAATGTCATACCGCACGCTGTCTCAGTTAGGCTGTCATATAAAGTACACTGGGATTCAAATTCAAATAGTGGCATTGGGTAGGGTCTCTGTAGACGTTCATTCAAAAGCCGGACGTCAGAACAGACATCTGACGAATGGTGGTAGTTGCAACCTGCATGTTCATTGTGCAACCGGGAAGACTGGAGTAAGGGGTCACGTACGAAGTTTCACTCGAAATGTTCTTGACTTTTTCGGACACAACGGCAGACCTTGCGTTTGAACTCCGCAAAATCCTCACGGAATTCCTTCTGCAACCAAAAATAAATTCTAAAAAGTTCATACCGCTGCATCGACGTTAGCCGGGCTGTCCGGGTTAGGTTCGGCAAGCATCGAAATAACGGATGTGATGATAGTCTCCACCGTATGGACTGGCAACCACCGCTCGTCCGGGCGCTCATATCCCCAACGGTCTTCTCCAGGCTCATGCAGTATAGATATACAGACGTCGCCAGTTGGTGAAATATTTGGGTGCCAAATTTCTGTTACGAACCTCATTTTAGGGGGCCGATTGGGATAGTCTTGAGGAAAATCAAGTTCTGCGCGAAAATAGCCACCCTCGCTGACAGTAATAATGTGAACTGCCTCTAACTTACTATAGTGTGTCCGGTGGCCCCATAATCAAAACCTGCCACTTGAAAATATTTTCATCGTCCACTAAGCCGGCTGAGAACCCTTCTGTTGCGCTCTTGCTAAGTTCTGTGGTGGGCGAAAATTACCACCGAAAACGTGTGATTAATCCTCTTTTATAAAACGCACTTACCACATAATTGCTTCTTTAAAAGTAATGTTGACGCCGTATTACTCATGTCAACTCAGCATCTGCAAAAGTTCGCGCCAACAAGTTTGAACGGGGAGGCGATGATAAACAAGTGAACAAGGTCAGATTAATAGTTCCGATAAGCTAAAACGGCAGAAAGTAGATGTAGGCTTTGAGGCACTAGGTGGAATTCGCTTATTCGGAAAAAATGGGAGCGGGGCGTGATCCGAATGGATTTTGAAGTGATTCGGAGCGCTTTATATATACTCTGATCCAGTCTTCACTCAGACCAACCCACTGAAGCCGAAGGCCTCAGTCGAGCGTGATTTGAACCACGCGAGTCTAAAGTTTTTGGAGTAGCGGAACGTGTGAAACTTTTTGAATGCCTTTGTAAAGTTTATGAGATTATGTCATGTGCGACTCCCGTGTATTCGCCCACTTTGGTATCTGAGAATGTGGGCACATTCTTCATGCAAAAGTGGTTTGACTGTGGCCGTGACATCGTTTTGTGATTATATGAATTGGAAAGGCGCGCCCCAAAACCATTTCCTTTCTTCGCACAGTGGCTGCCGGGCAGAAATTGATCACTTATTTTCTAGATTAGTTTGGCGACCGCCTCAAGCACGTTAGCATCGTCATAGCGAAGCAACGGACATGACGGCCGAAAAACATTTTGCTCTGCTAAATGCTATGCGGATCTGGTCCTAATGCACCGAATGAGTTTGACTCGTACAAAAGTTTGATATATTTTTTCACGGTTAGATGTAACTTCGGTATGTTCCATTCGTAGCTCCATCTTGCCAGGACCGGATAAGGCGAGATAACTGGAGGAAAATACAAGCGTTGTGGTGTTTCCTGATGTATACGGACACAACTTTCTGTCGTTCGTGGTTTCTCCGATCCTACTGTCCAAGGAGGGTGTTGTTGACCTGTGCATTTAGTCCTGTAGTTGGTACTAAAACTGAACCATCTGATTCTTTAGGCAACTGCTAATGGATTTACCATCTTTCGTAACACAATATAGGGAATCCCGGATTCAAAACAGTTCCGGATTTTATGAAATGCAACCTCGCCTTCTGGGTTATACCTAGCAGAAGGCCGTTTTATGATTCCTAGGAGGGACATTACGACCCTTGTCATTGATGACGATGATGTACAGCCACGCCTCGGTAAACAAGATTCTCACAAGCATCGCTATATTTTTTAGGCATTTTTTCAACGTGCCGGTGGCTATTCATGCAGCTTTACTGCAGGTAGGCAAAGCGGAACAACGGGTACGTTCACCTGTTCGCCTACTATGGCGTAAAATTTTGGATGCGCCCGACGTGCCCAAGTGGAGTAGAGGTTAAACGCTCGCGTCACATACAAGATGCCCGGAGTACCGACCTCCGCACGAACAAGAAGGAGGATGTTGCGTGTAATATTGTGCATTTTGCCTGCATTTGCCGAGTGTGACCCTGCAAACCTTGACGACGATATCCAGGATATCGCCAATGCTGACCGCAGTCTAATTGGTTGATTCTCTTGGACGGCGGCTTGTTCAAATGGGTAAGCATCAAAGTGCAAAAATCCAAAACAACACAACGATTTCTCAGCCGGGTCAATAATGATGATTTTTAATCCTGGCTGGTGGATGACGTATCGTAGAGCATGATCACAATGGCGGGCAACATCATAACGGGGGAACCAAAACTAGGGCAATCCTCCTGTGTTGTGATAGAAAACCTGCTAATTCCTGAAAATGAGGAACCAAAACAACGGATCTGGTGAAGCAGTAGTGTTATCGTGACCTGGTGTGTCAACTTAAGCTAGAATGAAAACCACTTCTCCGTGGCCTTGAACAGCTGGGTTTAGGACCAGAGCCACGTTAAGCGTAAGTGGGATAATGAAGTGGAGTAACTCGCTGTGCGGATAATGGTAGCTGGGATCTCAGAATCAAAGGTGTGTGTTAAAAATATGTAAACTCCCTGATGTCACTTTAGAGCGGAGCCAGGCGTAACTTTTCCTCGGGATATAGTTACCACTCACTCATGGGGCGGGAGGCGAACTGGAAGCCTATCGAGATGGTTAGTTCCGAACGAAAGGTTTGGCAACTTGAAACGAACCCTACTCGGAGGCGGAAGAGGAAAGGTGGAGAATTCGTTTGCAGCTGCCTGAAAAGGAATGAGTGTGCGAAAGGGCACTCTCAAGAGTAGGGGAGTAATGGTTCTGGGGCTTGCCACCAGTGCCATCAGTGCACTGACTTCGGTTTTCAGACGGCCCCGTAACGGACGGCACGACTAAAGTAATCGGACTAGAAGTGTGGGATCCCGTGAAAAGCGGGCTTGAGGTTGGCCAAAAGGCATATTACACATTAGGGTGGGATGCAGGAAATCCGGGAACGAAACAGCTGGGTTCTCCTGTTGGTATGCTGCACGACGACATATTCTGCCAATCAGGTCCTCAGGTTAATTATTGCACGAACATTAAAGCTGAGGTAACATTAGGTTGGCGGCTGCAAAGTAAGGGGCAACTTATTTGGCGCTCACTCAGAATGTTCGCACACGCTTAACGCCTCAACTGGTGCCTGCAAATGCACACTCTACCAGGCCATGTGGATATTCAGGGACCACCTCTTCTTCTACTGTAAGCTACACTTCACAGGCAAGTTGCCTAGGTGGTCATCCATCCATCAGCCCAGGCTAGTGGGATAGTCTGTTGGGGTTGGTTAAACCTTAATGGCTGCTTCGGAAGTCATATTCACCACCTGTGGAAGGAATCATTTCAAACGATTACTCTGCAAGTTGAGGTATTTGGAGGCGTGCGAAGTCATGAGTTGCGTGAAGCATCATATTGGGTGTACGTAGCTGATATTACGCCGCCGCTCTCTCGCTGATTTGAATTGTCAGATCCCAGTGTTGGGGAACCACTGTTTTGAACACAGTGCGGTCTACATCAACGGGTGATGTACTTTGCTGTATGTGTGGCCCAACGACCAACCCTAATGGTTGCCGATATCCGCAGGACTAGCTGTATCGTGTATATTAAATGAGGCTGTCTCTGTTATCACGCACAGTTGAAGCCTCAAAATCGGTGGCGCGCTTACGTACGGGTCTATCATTTACGATAAGCACCCAAGGTGAACAATTTTACATACGGTTTTGATGACGAAGGGTAATCATGCTCTTCGTTTTCTGATAAATTCTCGTTTATTCTCGTTTCCGATATACTAACTTCTACTGGGGAGGACCTTTCGTCATATTGGTTGCATTTTATGTACAAAATATCGGGGGAAACCGCAGTATTCTCTGATCAGTTGCGCTCATCGAAGAGTGAGAACCACAGAGTCCCGTAGAAAGGTCAACATCGCAAAATGCATAGTTATCCTGAAACACAACACTCGAAGCAGCTTCGACTTTTCAAACAGTGACAAACGCTCAGAATTTTCATCACCCAGAGGAAAATGCCAGTCTAGCCACCGGCGTAGCACGGCATTACATCCATTTGGAGGGCGCCGGTGCTTGATCCACGATTTGAATTCGTCAGCAAGAGTCGACATGGACTTGGAAGGAACTCCAGGATTGTTGGCGTATATCAGGAACAGATTTGATCTCAAAGCGGGGCCTTGAGGAACTCCGATGGAGGTGGGTTCTAAAAAAGGGTGGGACAAGCCCAAACTCGGAACCTTCTAACCGATAAGAACGCCTAAATCCAGAAAGGAATTTCTTCTAGAATCCCATAAGGCCCGAGTTTATGGAGCAGCAAAACGTGTGGGACTTAATCGTACTCTTTTGAAAACTCGAAAGATAACATTAAAGCTAATTAGATTTTCTAGTGTCGTCGCCTAGGAATGTCAGGTGTAACATGTATTCCAGATGAAGAGGTAGTGTAATGCCGATGATCGGAGTAGGCTGCCAACTGTACTTCCAGATACAGTCCTCACTCACCCAGTTCTCAAAGACCGCATGTGACAGAATCTGGGTAAGGAGCTCCAGAAACGGTTGGGAGCATGTGGCACCGACTGGTCCAGAGAGCGCGTCCGGTTCATCTGCTAGTAAGCGCCGTTCTTAAACTTAGCCAAGTTATTTGTTAGTAGCAGACCTCGCACTTTTCCGATGGCTGCATTGGGCCATGTGACTGGAGTGGTCCCGTGGGACCTGCCGTCAGCTAACTGTATTTCCAGTATACGTTTTCCGTATCCGTGTTTTTCGTTCTTTATTGGCTCACCGTAATCGGTCAGGAATAAGACCGTATCGCACAGGTTATTTAACTATCTCTACAAACAGCAAGAAAGCGGGTGCACAGCTACGTGTAAGCTTTTGTTTATAAGGCCTTGATTGTTGCGACAGTTTTGACAATTCGCACCAGTGCAGACCGTTATATCAGAGCTATTTTGCGGTTGTTGACCGTTAAAAACGTGCTAAGCTGCTAAACAGCCTCGCATTAACCGCCTGAAAACCATTGTTTCGGTTGATTAACAGTAGGACCCGGTTGATAAACGGTTTACTAACCGTCAATTAGGTTATGGTGATGTTATTTAACATCGCTAAAACAGGAAAATGCGGTTGCTATGTGGTTACAGATGCAATGAAAATTTGTAGTTGTCCCATAACAGCGAAATACGGTTTGTGGTGGTTTTTCCATTGTTATTCAATGTCGAAATGCGGTGTGTGGCATAACTTTAGACATGATCGTAATGTTACAGCCAGAAAAAACTCAACTGGCGTGTTTCGTATGTACAGGATATTGCGTGAAAAAAGGACAGTGTCATAAACCATGGGCATTATCCGATGTAAACCTTAGGATTTGAGGGTGGCGGGCAAAAACGAAAGGGGGGACAAAACAAGTGGCATACTGCCTGACACGCGAAAATAATACTGAAAATTGCAGAAAATGAGGAATCCGAACAGCAGATCTGGTGAGGCAGTAGAGTTGACGAAATTCAATTGGTCAATTTTAACCGAAACCTAAAACCACCGCTATGTCCTAGTGTCGGGCTTGTGGCCAGGGTCACGAAAAGCAGACGTGGGGGTGACGAAGTGGAGGGATTCGCAATGCGGAAAAATGGTAGCAGGAATCTCAAAATCATGGTGCACAATGAAACTGTAGGGACTCATTGGTCTCTTTGTTA